TGGAGTCATGTGGGGATGGCCTTGGAATTTGCCCCAGGGCCAGACACAGGTGCTAGGTGCTAGAATGACCAGGAAGAATCTGAGGAACGTCTCCTTGGGCCCAGAGGGTTCCAGGCCACCAAGCAGCCCTGCCAGGAGAGTGAGGCTCCAAGAGGCTCCTGGCCCTGCACCTGGGTCTCTCTCCATCCTCAGTCTCTCCTCCCCAGTGAGGGGAGCGTCTTCATCGCTCCCCAGCATCACACCCCAGGCTCAGACCAGGCCTGCCACACACTAGGAGCTCAACAGACACTCGCACGAAGCCAAGTCCTGCGAAGCTCCAGGCCAGAATGCCTTCTGGAGAGCTGACAGTAGGTATCCGACTCCACCCAAATCAAAGGTCTCCTGTCCCTTTCCACTTCCATCCTGGCACCTGCTACGTGCATAGGCCAGAACTCCAGAAGAACATGCCAGGCCACCCTTCAAAGCCAGGCCGGGGTGTAGCCAACAGCGGGACCTACAAAGGGACAGTCCTGCCCAGGCAATTCCAGACAGAGCCCCGAGAACCAACAAGCAGACGAAGCCCTGGCTGGACTGACCCTCCCCACCAGCCTTTCAAGGTACAGAGCAGGCAAGCCGTCCCCGCAGCCCCAGGGTCATTAGGGTTCTGCTGGAACCCAGGCCAGGGCTTCCCCCACAGCTTGACCTCTCCTGGAGCTTACACAGCCACCCAGCTCCAGCTCTCCTCTGGTCCACGTAGAAGCCATCCCACACCCAGGTCAGGAGGTGTCCTGGGAACAAGGCACATGCTATACCCACAGCTCTGTGACTCGCCACCACTGACCTTCTTTCTTGAAGAGCCGGCCTTGGTGAGACAGGACTTCTGCAGGGCCAGGTAGCCACCAATCACCTCAATCTCATGCACAGTGGGGTAGCGCTTCTTCACTGAGGTCCCCAAGGCAGCAGGGGGCTCCGAAAGGCTGCCCGGCCCCTCTTCCTCAGCTTCCCTCGGCCTAGCCTCCCCGTTGGCCTGCAGGGCCCCTGGCTTCCTCTTGGGCACCACCGTGAAGGTGTTGCCACCTCGGTGCTGAGGCTCTGACAGGTGCCCAGGCCCGGTGGGATGCGGGTGGTACTGGGGAGGCACACCAGCCCCGGGGTAGGGCAGTTTGGCTTCTTGGGGAACCTCGTCCTCAGAGTCCACCTCATCAATGAAGGTGACGGGCAGCCCTGGCCTCCCAGGCTCCCTGCCATTCTTGGTCAAGCCAGGAACCCCAAAGCCCTGGGCAGGCTCAGCTTCAGTGGCGACCAGTGGGGACGGGGGTGGCGAAGACAGCCTCTGCCACCTAACGGTCCAGTCCACGAGGGCAGTGCCTGGCATGGGGCTGCCTCCCTCCTCGACCCCCGAGGGGCTCCTCCCACCGGCAAACACACCATCTGCTCCAGGCACCTGCTGGGCTTCACGCTCCTGGTGCTGGGAGGCCCAGCCAACTTCTCCCTCTGGAGGCCCCACGGACTGCCTCTCTTCCGCAGGAGGGGCCCCGGAGGTCTTGCGCTTGGGGATGAACACGAAAGAGTTTCGAGAGTTCATGCGAAGGCTGGCCAGAGCCCGGGCCTGGAGGTCCCCGGCAGGGATCGTGTCCATGTCTGGCTTGGAGGCCGGCAGTATCTCGAAGGAGTCGTTGGCGCTGGTGGCCGCGGAGACCCACTGGCGCTGGCTGGGAGTGGCACTAGCAGGGCTGAGCGTGGGCAATGCCGGGGGCGCGGCTAGAGTGGCACTGGGGGTTCCGGGGCTGGGGAGAGGGTGGGCGGGGGCCTCCCCCGACTCCACCTTTGGCTTCCACTCGCCCGGCCCAGGCGCGGAGCCCGTGAGGCCGTTGGCAGCGCCGGCCCGGCGCTCGGGGGCCGCGGGCCCGTTGGGGAGTGGGCGAGTGCCCGCGCTGCGGCGCAGGCCCCGTGGATGTACAGTGAAGGAGTTGCTGCCGGTCTTGTGCAGGAAGTCGCTGCGCCGGGGCCCGGGGCCGGGGCCTGCGCCGCAGCGCTCGGGCTCGGGCTGGAAGCAGGCGGCGCGCTCGCCCACGCGCGGGACCAGGGCCGGACCCGGGGAGGGCGGCGGCACGGGGCGGCCGCGTTCCGGGCTCCCACGGCGGCGCGGCGCGGCCGGCGGGTCGAACTTCTGGAGCAGGCGGCTAACGCGGCCGGGAGGCGGCGGCGCCTCGTACACGAGCACCTCGGCGGCGCGGATGCGGGCAGCCGGGCCCGGCCCGGGGCCGGGGACGGGAGAGGGAGGGAAGCCGGGCGCCGACTCGATAATGAGGATGTTGTCGGCGCGGATGGTGCGCACGCCGGGCACGCAGCGGTACAGCTCCAGCAGATGTTGCGCGGGCCGCGTCCCCGGCCCCGCCGCGCCGGCGCCCCCGCCGCGCCGCGCCCCGTGCCGCCGCTCCGACTCGAGCCGCATGAACGGGTTCTCGCGCAGCGGGCCCAGGCTCTCGGCCAGCACCAGCGGCTCGGCCGCCGGCCCCGCGGGTTCCTCCGCGCCCGCCCCAGCGCCCGGCGCCGCGCCCCCGCCCAAGGCCGCCAGCTTGGCCCGCTTCCGCTCCAGGATCTCTCGCTTCCAGGCGGGCATCGTGGCGCGGGGCGCCGGGCTCGGCCGCCCCAGGCCTGCCATGCTGCGGAGCGGCCGCCGGAGCCAGCGCGCGCCGGGAACTGCGGCCGCCGCCCGCCGCCGGCCTTCGCGCCGCGGCCACGCCCCCCTGACCGCCGCCCATTGGGGGAGGCCTATTCAGACCCGCCCCGCGCCCGGCAGCCTCACCTATGGGAGGGAGGATGGCCAGCCGTGCTGATTGGAGCACACTCTCCCCGACCCCGCCTTCCCGCGGGCCTCAGTGGAGCAGCGACCATCGCTGGAGCCGGTCCCCATTGGGGAGGCCCCCTTGGACACGCCCGCGACGCCTCACGCCGCTCCGTGGAGGCCCCCACTTCCGCCTCTGCTCCCTTGGCCCGCCGCGCCCGCGGGGCGGAGCCCGGAGGGAGTGGATCCTGGCCGGTGGGCGGGTCGGACCCCTGGGCCCCAGGTCGCGTATGACCTTGGCCGGGTTTGGTTCCTCCTCGTCGTGCCAGCACTCTGCCCGCCTGTTACCCCCGCGGAAAGCACGGTGGAGGCAGGGCCAACCCGGGACCGGAAGACTGTCCCGCTCCCGTGGGCGGTGTGCCGGCTGCACGCCATCCTCAGCCTCTTGCCTCCCGGTCCAGGACCCTCCGGGTCCAGGGACTGCCCACCTGCGGTCCTCGGTCCCCTACGGGCCTTAACGGAGATGCCAATGCTGGAGCCCCAACCAGTGCCGAGGAACCGGTTTCTCAGGAATCCCTAGCTTTTGCCGGCCCCCCGAATCCACTCTGTGGCTCAGACAGGTGGTGGAAACTCTCTACCCGCACTTTGTCATCCAGGGCCCAGCAAACACGGACGGGAGTGCGGAAGCTGTGAGCAGGCACAGAGGCAGGGGACTCTCTCCTCGCACACAAGCAGGCCCACAACTCTCCAACGCTGAGCCACAAAAGCCAGGGCGTGTATTCCATTCAGCCGCTGAACCGGCCCCATCCCAAGGCTAACCCTGAGGGCACAGCTTCTCTGCCTACTTGCCGTGAGGAAGTTCTCTCTCCGTGGAGGGCTGCACAGTGCCCACCACAATCTTTCAGGCCTGTGGGAGCCAAGGAGAGAAGGGGAAATTGGTGGGCACAGGCAAGGACAAATGTTACCTGCCTTTCCATCACCTGCCCTACAGTCAGCAGATGTTCAAAAATGACACTACTGAGTCCCACACCACTAACCTGTCAGGGACCAGGCTCCAAGAGCGCCTGGGGCTCTGCAGAGACCAGGGGCAGGTTTCAACCCAGGGCCCTTCGCAGCTTCTGGATCCCATGGCAGTCTGCAGCTACCACTGCGTTAACGGTACTTTAACAGCCCTGTTTATTCAGCTGGAGAAAAGAAACTGGATTACGGCCTTCCAGAGGTCAAGTGTTCCTTCAGGACTCTGCTCAAATCACCTCTCCGAAGGAAGCTAAGCCTTCTTATGCCCATCACATCTATGCCGACAGGATTACCTAATCCTGAACTACCAAAACACAACAGGGGAGCAACAAAACACACAAACTAAGAATAACATGAAAAGGAAACCCGCTCCCAACGGTCAGCTTGTACCTGGCTTTGACACAAGTTATGCCAATCCTGGGTAGGAGACATTTTTGTAGCTGTGGCACAAACTACACCAGCCTCCAACTCAAGCATATCAATGGTTCAGGCCATGCAGCATCCATCCCAGGACAGGAGTCATGAAGCTGCTTCACTAGAACAAGGGTCCAAAGACATGTTCTGTAAAGCGCCATACAGTAAATATTTTGGCCCAGTGGTTCTTACCAGGGACAGTTTTGTCCTCCAGGAGACCTGGCAATGTCTGGAGACACTTGTGGTTGTCACAAGTGAGGGGTGCTATTGGCATCTAGTGAGTGGAGGCCAGGGATGCCGCTAAACACTCTACAATGCTCAGAACGGCTTCTCCCTCTGCACACACAGCAGTGATCCGACCCAAAAGGCCAACTGTGCCAAGACTGAGAGACCCTGTACACTGCAGGCCACATTCACTTTCTGTCACATTCTTCTTCGTTCTTACAACCCTTTGAAAATGGAAAAGTTATTCTTAGCTGATACGCAGCACAGAAACAGACCCCAAGCCACAGACTGCTGACCCCTGCTCTGCAGATCAGCAAGGCCCACAAAGACTCTGATGTCACACAAACTGCTTGGTAGGTCCTCAACACTGGTCCACCTGGGTTGTCTTCACCCTGGCTCCCTAGGCAGGAAGCAGGGATTCTCCAAGGGAACTGGCCCCCATCCACCCAGTACGCTCTAGCCAAGTTCCAGCACCCCCCCTTACAACCTCAGCTCTGTAACCAGCTACACCACACAGCAGGGAGTGTCTCAGCATTCATCTCATTTCACCCTCAAAAGGTCAGGCAACCACTGTGCATTTCAGCAAAACATTCTCTTATTTTATTTTTATCTCAGCAAATGTTCTCATTTGGCACCTGACTGGCATCAAACCAAAGCCCTTAGGCCAACAGGCGTGGCCTGAGACCATCTGCAAACTTCCCACGTGTAGGTCTCAATGGCTATGCGCGTCAGAGCACCTGTTCCTCTCTCTGGTCCCTTAGGGCGGCCTAAAGGTCTCAGGTGCACTAACAGTGCCGGCCATGAGGTGGTGGAAAAGTCGTGACACTGCAATCTGCTGGGATAAGAAGACAAGCAGCGCGTTGAAAGCAAGTTCTTTTCTCAGGCGACAGATATCCAGATAGGGTCCCGATCATGCTTATTCGACATACTCCTGTCTGCCTGGGCTGGAATGAAGAAAGAGCCATCCTCCCCAGTGCAACTGGGGAGGAGACACAAGCTGGTTTACACTTTTTAGAGCTCAAGCATCTAAGGAAGTCTTGTCTGGGGGGATGGGGCAGTAAGCTCTCAGGTCAGCACTGCTGGCCAGGGGAGATCCCGAGTCCAGCTTTGCAGCCTTTGCACAGTGGGTACTTTCCCAGGATCCATGAAAATACTCAGAGCCCATCAGGACATTTTACTTATATGCAGTTTCCAACTGTCAGAAGAGTTCAGGACTGTCTGGCCTTCTCAGGATCCTTCTCAGGATCTCAATTCAAGATTAGCTATTCAAAGGATGAAATAAGAGGGAATACATTTTAAGAATCAAGGCTGTTCTTTCTGGCCCTGCTGAGGGAACCATTTCAGAGATGACTGATAGAAAGCTGGGCACCCAGCAGGGCACAAGCTGGCCTTCAGACCCAGACTTCTCTGGTGCGGCGAAGTGGGACCTCAGCCTGGGGTCCCGCATTCTAGCTTATCTTCTGCGAGGCTAGTTGACCCGGCAGGCACGGATCATGAGCAGCTGCAGGAGAATGAAGACCGGAGACGTGATCAGGCCAAACCAGAGCTCCCGAGTCTGCTCCACCAGCTTCTGGCACAACAACATCTCGAAGACGAACTTCAGGCCAAGAACCGTGAGGACCCAGAAAAGGCGGAGCACAGCCAGCCGCTTCTCTCCATCCTGGAAGAGGCGCACGGAGACGATAGTGGTGAAGTAGGTGCTGAGCCCGTCAGCGGCGAAGAAGGGCACGAACACGTTCCACCAGGAGAGGCCGGGAGCCAGGCCGTCCACACGCAGGGCCAGCAGCACGCAAAACACCAGCAGAGCCAACAGGTGCACGAAGATCTCGAAGGTAGCGAAGCCCAGCCACTGCACCAGCTCCCGGAGCGAGAAAAGCATCGCGCCGGTTGAGCGCGGGCCAGGGCCCGGCCGATGGTCCCACCCGCCAGGCTGCGCCGCCACTCCCCACGGGCCTCGCTGGCGCCTGCCGCCGTCGCCGCCGCGGCCAGCGAGAGGCAGAAATTGACCCCGCCTGCCCCGGCCCTCGGCCCCGGTACGCAGCCAATCCCCCGGCCCCCGCCCGGGACCCAGCACTGGCCGCCAGCCGACGACCGCCTTGTTCGGACGCCATGCCCCGCCGGGCGCGGCCCAAGGGCATCACTTCCGGCCGACGCCGGAAGTCGGAAGTCCGAGCCGATCCCGGGCGCCCGGGCCAGCGGGAGCTCCCTGCCGGTCCAGTTTCTGAATGCAGGGGACCCCGGGGCGCACCCCGATGCCGAACACGCGGCTTCTGGTGCTCTTCGGCAGCCAGACAGGCACAGCCGAAGATGTGTCGGAGAGGCTGAGCCGCGAGGCCCGGCGCAGGGAGGTTGGCTGCCGGGTGCAGGCCCTGGACTCCTACCCCGTGGTGAGGGCTCCCTGGGCCTCGGCGGGGAGACCCAGCAGGCTTGGGGTGCCGGCCCCCAGAGCCCTTGACCCTAGGGCGCCGCGTTTTGTCTGAGAGCGGGCCCTTCCGTTACGGCAGATTTAGGGGCCGAGAAAGCTTGGGAACAGCGGCCAGCTTAGCACATGGAGGAGGGGGTGAGGTAGGAGGGTGGACCCTGAAAGAGAGAAGGCAGGCCAGCCGTTCGCGGGTGTTAAGCACATTTACCCCATCTCTCTGAGTGAAGGAGACGGAGCCAGGCTGCTGGGAGGATGCCTGGTCATTACAGCCCGAGGCCTTACATATGTGTCTTTTTGTTGAGGTGAATCTGATAAATGAGCCCCTGGTGATATTTGTTTGTGCAACTACAGGCCAAGGAGAGCCCCCGGACAACATGAAGGTAAGGCTGACCTGAAGTGGCTTACTGTGCCTAGGAGCTCAGATCCCTGCCTTCGGCCCTCACCCCATTTTCATTGCCTGGAAAGTCTTGAGAAGCACAATAAATACTTGCCCTACTATATCTGCTGCACGTCAGCCATGGATTTGGGAGGAGAGCGTTAGGTGGAGCTGGGGGCTCTGGTTGTCCATCTTAATAAACTCTTCACAGGCTACCACTTTAGCTTTTCATGTTTTTCCAGGACTATATATAAACCTGTTATGGGTCTTGTGTGTATTTCAAAACTGACCTTCAGGGAACATTCTTCGATTCTTTGACCGTCTTTTGAGCACACACTGTATTCCGAGCATAATCTAGTGCTGGGAATCTGGCTATGAACCCAGTAGTCACGTTTCTACCCTTTCAGAGCTCAAAATACAGCAAAAGTGAAAGAGTTGAATGGGTAGTTACTATGCCAGGAAATGCATGCTTCCAGGGAAAGTGCCAGATGTTATGGGAGCATTAATAAGGGCTGTCTAGCTCATTCTGGGAGTTCAGGGAGAGCTTTCTGGAAGAAAGGCGTATAGGCTAAGTCCTGAAGGATAAGTGGGGGCTAGCCAGGCACCAGGAAAGAGGGAGCAGCCTCTGCAGAGGAGAAAAACAGCCCAGCCTCTGGGATGAGCAGAAAGCAGTTCAGGATGGTCGGGGTTGGAGAGGAGAAGGGGGCAGGCAGCCAGGTCAGATCCCAAGAAGCCCAGCAGTCACAGGGAGGCAGATGGACTTGAAACAAAGGGCCATGGAACCCATGGGACGACGTGGTCACGTTCATATTCTAGCAAAACTAGCACTTGTCTGCAGGGGGAACAGGCTGCAGGAGAGCAGGGACAATGCGGGGCGGGGGCGGCGCACAGCGCAGCCAAGAGCCTGGTGGCTTGAGCCAGGATGGTGGCAGAGTAGAGGAACGTGGACCCACTCCAGAGATGTTAAGGTAGAGTTGATCGAATGTGTAATCATATCTCAAAGATGAGAAAGAAGGTGGAATCAAGACAGGAAATTGGGCTCAGGTAGTAGGATGGATGGTGGTTCCAGGCACAGAAGCAAGAGAATAGGGAGGGTGAGGTGCCTGGACATCACCCGGGTGGAGACGCGCAGCTGGTCTGGAGCCCCGGTGAGGATCCGGGGTGGAGGTGGATGTCACAGTGACCAGAATGTGGAGGCGAGAGAAAGGGAGCGCCTCCCTCCCCCAGGGCAGCTGCCCTAAGCACGAAGGGCGTGGAAGGTGGAGAAAAGCCTGTGAGGGGCGGGAAAGTGGCCCCAGCAGCAAGAAGAGGGAGCACACCATCTCCAAGGTCAAGGGCAGAGAGTTGACTGTTTCCAGAGGATGGTCTCCGGCACTCAGAGCTGCAGGGAGATGAAGTAGGATGAGGCCCGAGAGGCATTGCTGGGGTTTATCAGCAAAGGGACTGCTGGTGATCTCGGGGAGAGAAGCCTTGAGGAACGTCTGTACACGAAACAATTCGAAAAGGCTTATTGCTCTGAGTGGGGCTAAGGGGTTAAAAAGAGGATACTCGTGAGACGGAGAAACGCAGCCCTGTTTAAATGTTGGTGGGGGAAAGGAGGCAGAAGGTTGAAGAACTGGGTTGGAGTGGGGATGCTGTGGGAGAGCCCACACAGGAGCACGCACAGGAGAGGAGGCAAGTCTGGAAGACCAAAGGCAGGAGGATGGTGGATGCCAGAGACGCAGGGTGGGGCGGGGGAGGCGATGAAGACCTCCATCAGGTCCGCTGGCAGAGGTACAGACTTCACGTCGGAATACAACAGCATGAAGGTGGTGACAGTGACACTGGGACGAGGGTGGATAAAGGAGGGCAGAGTGCCGGGATGGACACCCTACGGAAGTGGTCAGGATGGGACCCTCCCAACATAGCACGGACTGGAGGCTCCTTTGAGAGGCTCAGACCAGGGGCCCCGGGACCGGCTGCACACTAAACAGGAAGAGCCCAGCCTCCTTGTCACGGTCCTCTGAGGACACTGGCCAGGTGTGCCCTCCCAGGCAGCCAGGGCCTTGCCCCACTGGTGACAGGCGCGAACTTGGGGTTTTCTATCAGCGCTTTTTTTTTTTAATAAATTTATTTATTTGTTTATTTTTTGGCCGCATTGGGTCTCCGTTGCTGCGTGCGGGCTTTCTCTAGTTGTGTCGAGCGGGGGCTACTCGTCGCGGTGGCTTCTCTTGTTGCGGAGCATGGGCTCTAGGCACACGGGCTTCAGTAGTTGTGGCACGCGGGCTCTAGAGCACAGGTTCAGTAGTTGTGGCGCACGGTCTTCATCGCTCCGCGGCACGTGGGATCTTCCCGGACCAGGGCTTGACCCGTGTCCCCTGCATTGGCAGGCGGATTCTCAACCACTGCGCCACCAGGGAAGCCCTGGCAGGTGGATTCTTAGCCATTGCGCCACCAGAGAATCCCCCTCTATCAGATTCTTAAGTACACATAGAGCAGAAAGAATGACCACGCTCTCAAGGAAAGACCCCGTGAAGGACAGTGACCAAGAGAAGCACAAGCGGAACCCGGCGGAGCAGGGGCAGAGCAGCCAGGGTTCCATCTGTGAGAAGGGAGAGCTTGGCACCCTTGGGACAGAAATGCAAAACCTGGGCAGAGCTACGGATGAGGAAACACTGCTTAAAATGATACCAGATCAGAAGATAACATTGAGAAATCCTCCGAGAGAATATAACGAGATAGGAAACAAGAAAGATAATATCAGAATTCCGAGATTATTCCAGTAGCCTCGAAACGGGAAGAGTGGTGAGGGAATTACCAAGGGAAGCAACAAGACTGAAGGACGAGTCTCCAGCCCGCGAGCCCACCATGTGCCCAGGAAGGGCCCGTGGGGTGTGAACAGGGCTCCCACTGACACACGTCTCGTGCGGGTTTCAGCTGTTGGGCGCAGAGTGGCCAGGTGTCTAGCGAGGGACAGAGCAGGGCACAGAGCGACGCTGGCTTCTCGGCAGCGATCACCCGGTTGGACCAGCTCAGAGCAAAGCTTCAGGCTCTCGGGGAAGACGATTTCATGTAAAGTGTGCCCTGTTGTCTACCAGGCAGTGTGAGGGGAGGCCAGGCATTTTCAGACATAAGCCGTGGGAATTGCATCTTCTCTGGACCCTTTCTCAGGAAGCACCCTGGGGGGCTCCACAGCCTGCCTGAGACAAGGTCTAAGCAGGAATGAGCAGGGGGTCTCAGGAGGCAGAGCAGGCATGGTCCCCAGCGGTGGCCCATGCAGGAAAGTCTTGAGAACTCCAGGGAGCAGTCCAGGGCCAGTAGGCAGAATTGTGCCCCGACAGGCCCAGGACCCCTCCACCCCAGGGGGCCTCTGTCTGGCCAGGTACAAAGCAGAAGGGAGGTGGGCTGTGAGGCGAAACCTGGACCGTACCCAGAGGGCAGTGTCTCAGGGCTCAGGTCACCAGTGGCCAAAGGTGAAGGGGAGCTTTGTTTAAAGCACCTCTGTCGGCCTGCAGCGAGGCCAGGGCAGGGAGTGGAACGGGATGTGCTGCTGCACGGGCTGCCCAGCGGGTGGCCCTGCAGTCGGAAGGAGAGGGACTCGGGCTCGGTCTCTCCTGCTGTAGAGCTTCTGGAGGTTCATCTTCCGGAGGAACCTGCCATCGACCTCCCTCTGTCAGATGGACTTTGCTGTCCTGGGCCTTGGGGACTCATCTTACGCCAAGTGAGTAAGGGTGGGCAGGCTGCTGGCCTGCAGAGACTGTCTTTGGGGTCAAGCACAAGGTGTCCCGGCCCCCCAGGGCTCCCACTTCGGGATGTGGCCCTGGCCATGCGTCCTCGTCCCACAGATACTCTCTGGCGGGCACTTCCTCCATGGCCAGAGGCCCCAGGGCTCGGAGGGCAGGCCAGATCCATGCAGGAAGTGGGCAGGGCGGCAAGGTGGGTGCCAGGCTGGGGTCACGCCCAAGGCACCTTCCAGGGCAGGAGGTGATGTTTGGAGCCGGACGTCCGAGGTCTGAACCAGCGTCACCTGTCACCGTGTGACGTAGGGCAACAAAGGCCTACCTTGCTCTTCCCCCACTTTCATAAAAAGCCTTTCGTGAGACATTTGGGCTTGCGAAGAGCACATAGAACAGTGAGCTGCGAACAGGCGGCAGGCACAAAAGACCCCAGCCCCTGGGAGCCACCCTGAAGCCAGCACTTCCCTGGACGTGGCCATGGGACTGCCTGCCTCTGCTTTTTTTCTTTCAACGTTTTCACAACGTAGCCATGTCCTAAGCAGAGAATGCTATCGCTCTGCGTTATTTTTTGGGGAAGTACAGAGGGCTTTGTGTTCAAGGGTATGCATGGCGTTAGGTTCCCAAGATATTAAAACCGTAGCTGTGCAGCACAGGAGCTGAGGGAGGGGTCGCTGGGTACAGACACCTCCAGAGCCGGACGCAGCATGAGGCCTGCAGCCGTCCAGGCGAAAAGGACAGAAAATGGGTGGCATAGTTATCCTTGCCTACGGGGGCTTAGGGGTTCTGTTCAGTGCGTAACGTAGACATCCATTCCTGCTGGTGGGCGCGCCCACAGGAGGGGTGAGAGACCCTTCCGTTGACAGTGGCTCCGCGAGGAGCTGCCCTTCAGGGAGCAGCGAAGTGACCCCAGGAAGACTTGGGACCCTCCACCCTGCGCAGCCAGCTGGGTGCTTCCCTCCTGCCCCCGCCTGGGGCCCAGGTCAGCGCCAGCCTCCGTCTCTCCGTAGGTTCAACTTTGTGGCCAAGAAGCTGCACCGACGGCTGCTGCAGCTCGGGGGCAGCGCCCTCCTGCCCGTGTGCCTGGGCGATGACCAGCACGAGCTGGGGTGAGTGGGGGGCGGAGCACCCTCCTGCAGGCCCAGCCGGGAGCGGGGTCCCCAGACCAGGGTGCACGTGCTCTCTGCAGGCCCGACGCCACCATCGACCCCTGGCTGCACGACCTGTGGGAGAAGGTGCTGGGGCCGCACCCTTTGCCCCTTGACCTCGGCCTGAGCCCGCCTGGAATCCCGTAAGTGTGGCCTTGGGGCGGCGCCTGCAGGCGCAGCAGGCCGCTCGTCCAGGCTGGCCAGTGGTCCGACAAGTGTCTTCCCCCTTCACAGCTGGCCCTCCAAGTTCACCCTGAAGTTCCTCCAGGAGGTCCCTAGCACGTGCTCTGAGGAGCTGTGTGTGGCCGGGACAGACCCTCAGGGACCCCCTTCAGAGCTACAGCCCTTCCTGGCACCCATGGTCACCAATCAGAGGGTCACCGGCCCCTCACACTTCCAGGATGTTCGGCTGATTGAGTTCGACATCACGGGCTCTGGGGTCAGGTGAGGGCTGGTCCTGGGGACCCGTGGGGGGCACGGCCGCAGCAGTGGGGACCGTGGTCTGGGGTTCAGCAGGTCCTCTTCCAAAGCGGGCACTCAGTGGGGAAGAGAAGAGAGACGGCGGCCAGGGAGGGGGGACCAAGGACCCCCCCCCCGCCCTCCCTGGCCGCTTGTTTCCTTCCTCTGAAGTCCCCCAGAGTCCTGGGTGTCCCCCACAGCTTTGTGGCCGGCGACGTGGTGCTGATACAGCCCGAGAACACGGCCAGCCATGTCCAGCAGTTCTGTCAGGCACTGGGCCTGGACCCCGACCAGCACTTCACGCTGCAGCCCCGGGAGCCAGGTGAGCCCCAGCCGCCACTGCTGCCACCGTGCACTGCGCCCCCACCCGCGTCCCCAGCCCCCCATAGCCTCCCGTTCCCCACTGCAGGTGTCCCCTGCCCCACACGGCTGCCCCAGCCCTGCTCCATTCAGCGCCTCGTGTCCCAGTACCTGGACATCACCAGCGTCCCCCGCCGCTCCTTCTTTGAGCTCTTGGCCTACCTCTCCTGCCATGAGCTCGAGCGGGAGAAGCTGCTGGAGTTCAGCTCGGCCCAGGGCCAGGAGGAGCTGTGCGAGTACTGCATCCGGCCCCGCAGGACGGTCCTGGAGGTGCGGGCAGGGGCTGGCGGGCGGGTGGGCGTGTGTGGCCGTTCCAGCCGCAGCCCTTCTGAGGCTGTCTCCGCCAGGTGCTGTGCGACTTCCCACACACGGCTGGCGCCATCCCCCCGGACTACCTGTTGGACCTCATCCCCCTGATCCGGCCACGGGCCTTCTCCATTGCCTCTTCTCTGCTGGTGAGGGGCCGGCCTCGGGGCAGCCAGGGCCGGGGCCACCAGGGTGGGCAGCGGGGCCCTGCGTGAGGGCTCTGGGCCTTCCCCAACCCTCACCGGCCACTGGGACCCAGCCGGGTGAAGCGGCTGGAGCCTGAAGCAGGGCAGGGTACCCACTGTCCCCTCCCCCAGGCCCATCCCTCGAGGCTGCAGATTCTCGTGGCAGTGGTGCAGTACCAGACACGCCTCAAGGAGCCCCGCCGGGGCCTCTGTTCCAACTGGCTGGCGTCTCTGGACCCTGGGCAAGGTGACCCTGGCTCCCTGGGGCGGGGGGCCGTGCGCAGGCCCCGTTCCCCCACGTGTACCACAGCCAGTCCCGGGCTAGGGCCCTGGGCCTCCGAGCTTCTTCACGCTGCCTCCCTCCCGCGATAGGACCTGTTTGGGTGCCCCTGTGGGTGCGGTCCGGGGGCCTGACGTTCCCAAAGACACCAGACACGCCTGTGATCATGGTGGGGCCAGGCACTGGTGTGGCCCCCTTCCGAGCGGCCATCCAGGAGCGAGTGGCCCAGGGTGAGACCGGTGAGCACAGAGTCTCAGGCGGGGTGGCGGCCGGGCTGAACCTCAAGGGCCCAAGTCCTGGCTCAAGGCCCCCGCGCTTCCCCAGGAAACGTCTTGTTCTTCGGCTGCCGCCAGCGGGACCAGGACTTCTACTGGGAGGCCGAGTGGAAGGAGCTGCAGACGCGGGGCTGCCTGACTCTCGTCACAGCCTTCTCCCGGGAGCAGGTGGGTGTGGGGGGGCGGGGAGGGACGCTGGGGGGCGCAGACTCACCCCGTCCCCTCGCCCTGCAGGAGCAGAAGGTGTATGTGCAGCACCGGCTCCGGGAGCTCGGGCCGCTGGTGTGGGGACTGCTGGATCTCCGGGGCGCTCACTTCTACCTGGCGGGGTGAGCCCGGACGCAGGTCGTGGCGGGGGACCAGTCCCCTGGGGACTCCGACCGTGCTGAGCCCTAGCCTGCCTTTCCCTCCAGCAACGCCAAGTACATGCCAGCTGATGTGTCGGACGCCCTCACGTCCATCTTCCAGGAGGAGGGCGGGCTCTCCGGCCCCACCGCGGCCGCCTACCTCGCCAGGCTCCAGCGGACCCTGCGTTTCCAGACCGAGACGTGGGCCTGAGGAGCCGTCCTGCTGTTGGCCACGGCCACTCTGACTGCTGCTCTCTGGAGACCATTGTTACCTCTCTCCCTGTCCAGTCCCAGCTGGGAGGACAGTCAGCTCTCCTTCCTGCACAGACCCCGAGCAGCGGGAGGAGACCCCCAGGCAGCCCACACCGTACAGCCTGAGCAATAAAGGATGGGCTCTGGGCGGCCGCTTCTTACCTGCTCTTCCTTGTGCCATAGTGCTTCTCAGGTGGTGGGTGGGCCCACAGCTCACCCGCCCTGCTGGTGATGGAATAGCCCGCCCTGCTGGGCGCGAGGGCACCATTGCTCAGCCCCACACCTCGGTGCCCAATTCTCACGCGGTGGGTGCCAGCTGTTTGCCCTCCTTGTACAAGCTCTGCCCTGGCCCTGATGGCCCAGTAGGGGGAGGCCTGGAGAGGCACCGGGCAAGGCTGGCGTTGACCGTCCCCTCCCAGCCCAGGGCAGAGCAGCCCAGGGCCCTGGGAGGGAGGGGGCGGGGTCTCGGGTGGGAGGGGAGGGGCGGGGCCCAGGCTGGTGGGGGAGGGACGTGTGCGCTGTGTCCCCACCCCGGGAGTGGAATTCCTGCTGGAGGAGTTAGGCTGGCCTGCCCACAGCGCCGCCGCCTAGAATACAGCTGGCTGACACAGGGATCGCTGCGGCTGGGCCTGGCAGAGCCTCTTGGGGACGGGACGGCACGCTGGGCCCAGGAGCTGCCCGCAGCTGGCACGGCTGTTGGGGCCCGAGTGAAGTTTACTCTGAGTGGGGCCTGGAGCCAGGAGGAGGAGGCAGTCGCTGCAAGGTCAGTGCCAGGCCGAGCCCCAGCCCCGGAGGGCCACACTGACCTTCACAGCCCCGGCCTGCCCCGTCGCCGCCCTGGGGTCCCCACCCACCCATCCTGACCCCTGCGCTGGAGGCACCGCCCCTGAACTGTGCCCTGGGGCCCCCACTCATGGCCCTGCTGACCTCAGCTCTGGGCTCACCAGTCTGCCTTTGGCCTCCCTGGGCCCTGAGCACCTGGACCCTCTGCGCCAAGTGCTGGTAGATAATGGGTCAGACAGCGGGGCCCTTGGGAGCCCCCAGGGTGCCAGGACTCCAGACAGTGAGCCCCTGCTGGGGGCCGCAGCCTCGGCCCGCCCCTGGGCCTGGCCCACAGAGAACGAGGATGAGGAGTGCCCCATCTGCACTGAGGCCTACGGGCCCGGGGAGCACCGCCTCACCCTGCTGAACTGCGGCCACGGCCTGTGTGCGGGCTGCCTGCACCGGCTGCTGGGTGCAGCCCCCAGTGCTGACCTGGGCCAGGTGTGCTGCCCGCTGTGTCGCCAGAAAACACCCACGCTCGAGTGGGCGATCTGCCGGCTGCAGGAGGAGCTGCTCCAAGCCGATGGGCCCCAGCGCCCTGCGCCCACCGCCCTCCCCATGCCGCCCCGCCGGGGCCCCGGGCCCTGGGCCTCCCTAGAGCGCCGCTACCAGCTGCGCTTCCTGCCGGGGCCTGTGGGCAGCCGAGGCTGCCTGCCCTTTCTGCCCTGCCCGCCCTGCCTGGGCTCCCGGCTCTGGGCCCTGCGGGAACGGGGGCCCTGCGCCCGCCGCCTGGCACTGCTGGGGCTGCTGGCCCTCGAGCTGCTGGGGCTGCTGCTCATCTTCGCTCCACTCGCGCTGCTGGGGCTGCTCTTCGTGCTGCTGGACAGCTCCCGCCGCTAAGCAGAGCCCATCACGGCCGCCACCAGCACCGCCTGGGTCTGGGACAGCCATGGCCGCCAGCGGACAGGAGGCCCAGACTGGCCCGAGCCTTGGTGCCATGTGGCCTTGGGAGCACCTTGCCCTGAGGCCCGATGACCAGGCTGAAGGACCCAAGGGTGACCGGGGCACTAGCCTTCAACCAAGACCCAGCACCCGGGCAGGGCCACCCAGGAGCCTGTGTTCAGCATCTGACGCAGCCAGGGACTCCAGACTGCCCTGCTGCCCGGACATGAGCCACCGATGCCCAGGACAGCACTGGAGGTCTGTGACAAGGGCCCCAAGGGCCCCTCGATGGACAGGCCCCACACTGCTGCTGGGCTGTCTCCGCCCTCCCGCCTGGCCTGCCTGCAGGAGCGGGACGGGACGGGTGCAATGGACACGAAAGTGAACACAGGCTTGGCAGGGAGTCGAGTCCTTGGAGTGGGCGGAGCCCTGGGCCGGGGCTGCAGGCCCCCCACCTGCCCACGTTCCAGATAAGGCCCAGCGTGTGTTCCCTGAAGGTCAGGGTAGCCGAGGGGAGGGCTCCTGCCGCACAGGCCCAGCCCACAGAGGGCCTGCTCACCTGGCCAGTCAGGATCCAAGTGGCGACCCTGAACAGCCGGAGGGTCAGCACACGCCCCTCAGCTTCAAGGGACGTGGGCCCAACCAGGCCCTGGAGACGCACAGCACCAAGCTGGGCCCCAGTTCTGCCCCTGCCTCCTCTGTGACCTCCCTTTGGGGAGCCGGGGCCTTTATCTGAAGGACAGGCGCCATCACAGCACCACCTCCTGGGCGCGTTGGTGACATGCTGAGCCCTGTGCCCAGCGCGCGAGATGGCTCTCGGTAATAAACGGTAGCTGCTACTGACACTGTTGTGGCTACATTGCTGTCATCTTTACCCTGCCTTCACCAACCAGGCGACAAAGTTCCTTCTCCAAATCCAGGTCGTTCTAGTGCCAGACAGGAGACCCTCCTCCGGTCCTCATACCTGATCGTGACTGCGGCCAGCCTTTGTCCCAACCCCAGCCCAGGCTGGCCCCAAGGCCATTCTCACATAACCTCAGAGGATCAGGTAGGCACCAGGGGCCAGCTGGACTGACTTGTCCCCCCGTTGGCTGCACTCACATCCAGCGGCCAGTGCGGAGGAAGCGTCCTCCCTTTGCCCAGCTGGGCCTGCTTTGCACACCTGCCCCCACAGTCCCGCCTGGCACATACAGGAGGCTGGCTCCGCATAGAGGTGTGGGGCGTTCACACACACACACACACACACAGGCTGGCTCCGCATAGAGGTGTGGGGCGTTCTCTCTCACACACACACAGAGGCTGGCTCCGCATAGAGGTGTGGGGCGTTCTCTCTCACACACACACATACACACACACACACACACACACACACAGAGGCTGGCTCCGCATAGAGGTGTGGGGCGTTCTCTCTCACACACACACATACACACACACACACACACACACACACAGAGGCTGGCTCCGCATAGAGGTGTGGGGCGTTCTCTCTCACACACACACATACTACACACACACACACACACACACACACACACACACATGAGTGTCAGGCCCAGCCCTCCTGGGCAGCGTGCCTGGACCAGACCGGCCCCCAGCGAGCAGACCAGGTTGACCCCAAACAGCACTGGGCCTTCCTCTGGCTGCTCCAGCCTGGACCCTGTCAGGGCTGCAGCCCTGCGTGCCCACCCTGGCCCAGGCCTGTGCGCAGGCCTAGGCTTCAGTCCAGGGAACGAGGTGCAAACTTTGGCAGAGTTTTAATGGCAAGGTTGGCTGCAGCGACAGTGCCACGTGGGTGGGGGCCAGAAGCTGTGGTGGGCAAGGGGTCAGTGGGCAACAGGGCAGGGCCAGATCCCTGAAGAAGCAGCGAGCGAGGACCGGTGGGCGGTGGCGGGCAGGCGGGCGGGCGGGCGGGCGCTACATGATGGAGCAGGCAGACAGCGGGTTCCGCACGTGGCAGGTGCACGCGGCCCCGCAGTACTGCCGGAAGGTCTGGTAGCAGCTGCCCTCAGGCTCGCCCCCCCACTGGCCACCGGACGGAGCGGTCAGTGCCTCAGGTGGCAGGCGGCTCAAGATGGACGTGTTGACGGCCAGCGCAGCCAGGCCGTAGTCAGTGAAGAGCACAGTCTCGCGGCGGCAGGTGGGACAGGAGATGAACTTGTACTTGGGGCAAGACTCGTAGAGAATCTGCAAGCACTGCTCACACACAGAGTGCAGGCAGGACAGCACGCGGGGCCGCCGCTGCGTGACGTTGTACGTGTGCCCGCAGGTGGGGCACTCCAGAGGCTCTCCTGCAGCCGCTGCCGCTGCCGTGGAGGCCCCTGAGGCCGCAGGGCCAGGCCGAATCACGTACTGATTCACGATGACCTCGTCCGCCGGCGCCACTCGGGGGAAGCCCAGCTCCGCGCTGCCCTTGCGGGGCCGACGTGGGAGTGGCGGGGTGCAGGGCGCCCCTTCCAAGGCAGGCATGTCCCCCCCACAGGCCTGGTTGACGATGATCTCTGTGTCTGAGGGCCAGGCTCTCTTGGGTGCCAGAGCGGGGGTGGGCCGGGGTGCAGGTGGGAAGCAGGGGGCGGCCGCCTGCAGCTCGGGGAACTTCTCAGGGTGGACCATCTTCATGGCCTCCATCTTGAGGATGACATGGGGGCCCTTCAGGCAGGACATGAGGAAGCTCGGCCAGCCACTGCCCGCCTCGGGCCCAGGGTCAGCCGGCATCCAGCTGTCTCCAGTCAGACTGGGTGTTCGGGTGGGTGGGGGAGTTGGGTGGGGCCGGGGGGGAGGAGAGGGGGCAGCATCCTGGTCCCGCCAGGCCTGGTGGGGACCCTGGATGCCCTGTGGACTCCTGGGGGAGGCTGGCAAGAGCTTGGGGGGAAGGGCCCCCCCCAGTGGCCACAGTGGCTTCTCAGGTCCAGTCCGAGGAGGAGGAGGAAGGAGCGGGGGAGGAGGAGAGGAACAGGGGCAGGGGGGTGTGGGAGACTGCCCTGGGCTGGAGGTCGGGCCCAGGGGCTCACCCAGGGTCTCTGGCTGCTGAGGCTGGCGAGGGGGCGTTGGGGGGTGTCCCCCTGCAGCCGAGATCAGCCGTCCCGGGGCCGGGACATCCGGGCAGGCAGGGGCTAGGTGGGCCCCATGGCTCCAGGACAGGGCACCCAGGGAAGGCAGCTAGCCTGAGCCCTGGCTGCGGAAGGACCCGGGCTGCAAGCTCGGCGGCGGCGGCGGCGGCGGCGGCGGCAGCGGCCGCGGCGGGAGCAGAGGAGAGGCCTTCACCGGGCCCGAGCTGCAGGTGAGAGACAGCGTGAGCGCAGCGCCCGGGCCCACCCTCACCCTCACCCTCACCCTCACCCTCACCCTCACCCTCACCCTACACAAAAGGGTGCCCGACCTCTGACCCTTACCCTCGCCAGACTCGGAACCCAGCCCCCTCCCCTGTCCCCGTTCCCGAGGCCCGACCTCCGCCTAGGAGTGGAGGCCGGCGAGCGGCGACCCCGCGCTGTCCCGCCCCGCCCGCACTCACCTGCCCCAGCCTGGCGTCCCCGGCCGGGCCGCGCGCCGCCGCCGCAGAGGTTGTCTCAAAGGCAGGCCTGGATGCGGCGCCCGCGCCTTGGCCCGGTGGCTCCGGCGGCTCTGGCGGCGACCTCGGGCGATGGCCGGGCCGCGGCGGCTCCCGGGGGCGTGGAGCGCGGGGCTCGGCTCGGCGCGGCGGCGGCGGCGGCGGCAGGTGCGTGCCGAGCGTGGCGCGCTCTGCGGCGGAGGCGCGGGGACCGCAGTGCGCGCGGCGCCCGCCCGCGCCCGCAGCGCCACCCCCCCCCCCCGCGCGGGCCGCGGGGGGGTCAGGATCTCCGCGGCGTCCCCCCTCCTGCCTCCCCTTCCCCCGTCCCCGCCTGGCTGAGCCTGGGTCCTAGTTAAGCCCCCCGCCTCAATTCTGGAAGGGAAAGCCTGCTTTGAGCTCTCACAGTGCCAGAGGGAGGAAGGGGAGGAGAGAGCCCAGGGGTGGTCCCATGAAAGCTGGTTCCCAGGACCCCACCATGGGACTGCCTTGTGTCCCCGCCAGAGTCAGGGTCTCTGCTTGTCCTTCCACTCGGCCCCCAGTGGGAATGCCTCCAGGGTTTTCTGGCTCACAGGTGCAGCAGGCTGTTTCAAAGACCGCGATGTGACAGAAGAGGGTGATCAGGGGCAGGCAAGCCACAATCAGAGGAGTGAATGGAGGGAGGACCGGTAGTTGGGAGAATGCTCCAAGGACAGGACAGTTGGACAGATGGGTGGTGTGAGGGGTAGGTGGAAGGTCAAACAGACAGCTGGACAGGCTGCCATGGGGCAGCTCAGGGAGGACACGCACCTACACAGGGTGAGGTGGCCCTTTCTGGCATCCCAGCAGGTCAGCACGTGTCCCGTTGCCACAGAGTTGTGTGCTAACCTGACCGCACCCAGCACAGAGGCTCCATTTCTTTCTGCTTCTTCCTCAGGCCAGGCTTCCTTGCCACCCCCCCGGGATACGCCCTCTGCCTGTGAGGAGCTCTCAGGTGAGAGGGAAGACAGAGGACATGCTGACAAATACAGGGCAAGGGACCAGGGCTGCATGGGCCTCCAGAGAGCCTTTCCCTAACCTGCCAGGGCCACCACATGGCATGCTGGCACTCCTTTGATCAGCACTGGGCCATGCACCTAACCCTGGACAGTCCCAGCCCCTTCTGGCCACAGCTCCTCTGCTCTGTACAGGCCAGACTGCACCTGGCTATACACCTAGCCCCAAGTCCTGCAGGCAAAAGAGCCCGGAAAGGTCGGCGCTCCTGATAAAGGGCCCCACGCGGGCAAAACAGACTGCAGAGGCACCCCTGGCCCATAGGCCTTGACTTTGCCGCTCTTTGCCATCTCAGGCTAGTGCCTGCGCCTCTGTGCCCTCCCCCATTCAGCGAGAGCATGTGTGCTAGTGTGCAGGTGCCCCGTGGGAGGGGCAGCGGGGTGCTTATGGGGCCCTGGCGCGAAGGCAGAGTACCTGCGGCAGCCCCGGCCAGGGGAGGACTGGGGGTCCAGTCTAGGCAAGGGCTTTGCTCATCTCCCCACCAACTCCCTAGGCGCGCACCCAAGGTGGTACCGGCCACTAGGCCCCACCCCTTACCCGAGGCCCCGCCCCTGGAGGTAAAGTCCACCCAGTGCAAGGCTCCCGCCCAGAGCCCGCCCAAACCCACGCCTCCCGAGCCGGGCGGCTCAGAGATGGTGCAGCCCAAGCCGGGTCCTGGACAGATGAGGCCAGCTGACCCCGAACCTGGTGTTTAGGAAGACCCTTGAGCGCAGAGGCTTCTGGGGAATATAGTTCCCACCGGGCGCACCTCCACCCCCACCCTGTCAGTCCTGTTTTGCGCATGCGCCAGCCTCCTCTCGGCAAGGGGCAGAATCTGTAGGGGCTGTGGGCGGGGCTTCTGACGCCTGCGCACTGGACCTCTGTTGTCCGCCTCCGAACTTCCCGGTCTTTGGGCCTAATTGCCCCTACGTCTGGTGCCGCATCGGTACGACTCATGTCCGGACCGGTCTGACCGGCCCCGTGCAGGCCACTCTGGTCAGCTGGCCTCTGTGCCGTGTCTGATTTGATCCCGCCCTTCCTGGGGGTGCACTCCGAGCGCCAAGGACTAGGGGTGCGTGTCCAGGCCGCACCCTACTGTCCCGGTTGCCCCAAGCGGAGCTCACCGTGCCAGGCCCAAACCCAAGACCCCAGTGCTCACATCCACCCCCCCACATACAGCGACCCTGTACGGCAGGTGCTATGTGCCCCCTCACAGATGGAGGGGATGCAAGGGCCAAGGATGGGGACGCTGAGGGATCGGGGGCTTGTGGCCCACGAGGCCACCAACCAGAGGGAAACTAGTTTAAGAAATGAGCTAGAAACGTCACTTGTGTATGAAGCCCATGTCGCCAATCGTAAGATAAGTAAGTTTTATCAGCAAAGGTGTGTAAACCAAGCATTTCTTATCAGTTAAAAAAACCAGCAAACCTCCAAGCCGTGTGTTCGCAAACATCTTGGTCTCTGCCTGCGGGGTAGAGGCTTGGGTCACAGTGAGGACCTCTGCTCTCTGCTTCGAAGCAGAGGCTCTGAGACGTGTGAGTAATGGCTGGGCCCCCAGACCACCTGCAGGCCTGACCCCAGACTCGCCTCCTGTCCTGCCTTCTGGTGAGCTGCAGGTCCCTGGAGGGCCAGGACATGCCCCAGATGCGTTGAGGCTGAATCACCCAGGCTGGCAATGTCCCTGGGAGGCCAGGCTGCAGTCAACACCCATCCAAAAAAGGAACGGTGGGTGGCCGCTGTGCTCCAGGAGCTGGGGCCTCCTGGGATCCTGGGAACCCCATCTTTGAGCCCCGCCCCTCCCCAGGAGGGAAAAGGCAGCTGCCAGTCGCTCAGCTCACAGGCACTGGGACCTGGCCCAGAGAACAAGACAGCTTGCTGCCGTCACCACTTCAGGTGGGTCCTGGGCTGAGGGGCTTCCGCACCCCCTGTAGGACCAGCTTAGCTGCATATCCCAGCCCCCCACCCCGCTCCCAGCTCCGTCACAGGGCCCTGTCTCTCAGGGAGGGCAGGGGACACCTGGGGGCAGCTAGGAGACACTGGCCCTCACTCTCCTTACTCTCCACTACCTTGCACGCGCACTGACACACAGGCCTCACACACACACTCAGGCGCTTCCACAGCCTGGCTTTTCTTGGGTTCCCCTCCACTGAGCTGATTTTGCCTCCTCTGCCCACCCCTGCCAGGCCAAGCCATGGACCCCCCTGAGATGCTCGTCAAGGACCCGTATGCCCATGTCAGCATCCCGAGGGCTCACCTGCGGCCCAAGCTGGGGCAGCAGCTGGAGGCGGCTCCATCCTCCTTGGAGTCTCAGCCCCTGCCCGTGGGGTCCTGCACCCTGGAGCCTACCGAGGAGGCCCCAGGACCCAAGGGTGCCAAGGGGGCTGCCTCCATCCAGGGCCAGCAGGCCTGGCAGCAGCCCTGCACCCCCTATGGCAGTGGGCAGCGCCAGGCAGGACTGACCTACGCTGGCCTGCCGCCGATGGGGTGTGGCGGCAACACTGCCCATCACTGCTGGTGCTGTGTCATTTCCTAGCCTGGCCCCTGGGCCGCAGGGCCTGCTGCGGGGCGCCCCCACACGGCAAGCCCGGGCCTCTGCTCAGGTGGCCACAGCAGTGCCTGGACAGTTGGAACAGCCACTGGCCTGTTGTCATGGGTGTTGGCTGCTCCCCACCTTGGACAGCAGCACCTACCCACCGAGAAGGCTGACAGCTCAGCCCCCGCCCCTGAAACAGAGCCCTGGGCGCTAGCCATAATGGTAGCCCCCGGGACACCCTTGACCACCTCTTCAAGGCCCAGGGCCAGGCAATAAAGCAGAGCGAGCTTCGTCCCGGCCCCTCTTCTTTGCTGCTACCCGCTTCGGGAGGGTCCCAGGCTAGAGACCACCACAGGCTGCCAGCCGCTATGGGACATTCCGGGGTGGGGCAGCCTCATGACAACCTAACCTGCTCTGCACTCTCAGGTTGGCCCAGAGGCTGGACAGGAAGGCTGGTCGGGCCTGGGTTTGAGCTGCCCTGCATTCCCTGGGGCCGAGGGTGAGCACGGGAGACAGGAGAGTCTGCGGGTCACACAGCAGGAGCATGCTGGGCCTGGAACCAGGAGTGGAGCCCGAGAGAAGCCTCCAGGAGGAGGACTGTGCTGGCAGCGCAGCGTTGGGTGGCACCAGCGCGGGCAGGTTTCCAGGAGTGGGAGCCCAGGTGACCAGCACCGAGCCTGCCCACCCGTGACTCACTGCCCTGCCTCGGCCAGGGTGTTTTCCTGGTCTCCCACAGAACATCCAATTCCTGAACATCTGCCGTGTGCTTCTCCCCGCTGTCCTGCCTCTGGGGCCTGGGCTTCGTGGAGGTGGGCAGAGAAGGCGCTGGGCCACCCGTCCCCCACTTGTCCAGCAGAGCAGCGCACCTGCGTCGGGGGCATGTGGGGAGCTGAGCCGTTTGGCACAGGGGTGAGGCCGGGATGCCCGTGTGAAGACTGAGCAGCGAGGCCGGTACTGGGCACACTGATGTTTCCGGGACCAGGCAGAGAGAGCCGGAGGAGGCCAAGCTGGCCCCGCAGGATGGACGTGTCCTGGTGCCAGCCTTCCCCCCGACCCCTGGTGACTGGCCACACGGCAGGACTGGTCCCTGGGCGTGGGCAGGCGTGTCAGTGGCCTGACTCCACGGGGCTCAGGCTCCCGGCCCTGCCCCATGACTGGCCCGCACAGGAAGATGACCCCACCTGGGCCAGCCACCAAACACCCGTCTGACCAGCCCAGGAGGCGGGGGCCTGCCGGGATGGCAGGAGTAAGGAGGGGACCCTCTGGGCCTGGCTTCCTCTAGCAGGACGGAGAGGGTTCTGGGGTCCTGACCTCAACCCACCCTTCCCAACACACCCCATTCTGCTATGTCACTGGGCTGGCCCCAGAGCTTTGACCAGGCAGAGGCCAGGGGGAGGTGGCCTCTGAGGAGGGCATCCGGAGCTGCCCACGGTGCCCTGCACCTCAGAGAGTTTCTGGGTGGTCTCTGTATGAGTGGGGATCTCCACTCCTGTGCTTGAGGGCCTCCTTGGAGCCTTATGGGGCTGGCTTGTGATGGGAACATGACAGGCCTAGCCCAGACAGAGACAAAGGCAATAGGACAAATCAACATGGACACACACACACTGTGACTGTGCTTGAGCCACAGAGCAGAAGGACCCCTCAGAGCTCTGAGCTGGTGGGGGTCCTGGCAGGCTTCCTGGAGGAGGTGACGCTTGAACTAAGAGCTGAAGAATAGGCATCACCCAGGTCAAAGCCAAAAAGCTTTCCCATCATGAGGTGGGGGTGGAGTATGAGTGCGGGTGGGCTGGGCACAGGTCTGGGTGGACGAAGTGGGAAGATGGGCAAAGTTGAGTGGCAAAGCCAGGCCTGGGTGAGGGGTTAGTGGAGCTGGGTCTGCGCATGAAGGGGGCGGGGCAGGCAGAGTGGGGGGGGCCCTTATCTCCTGATGAGTTGGTGGTGTCGGTGGATCCAGTTGCAAGCTCTTTGTGGCTGAAAGGGGAGCCCACGCCTGCCCACAGCCACCACCTGCCTCCCTGCTGACTGGTCCGTGGTAGGCCAGTAACGCGAGCCCCAAGGAAGGAGCCGCAGGGCGCCCTGGGTCCCCCCTACGCCCAGCCACCCTCTGGCTGGACATAGCCACCCAGCAGAGCGGATACAGGTAAGAGAGGCCTGGGGCTCAGGCAGGCTGGGGTGGGTTCGGGCCTGGGATGGCACACGAGAGCCACAGAGGGAGACCAGAGAGCAGGGCAGGATGCTGCCCAGCAGCAGTCACAGGGACCCAGGCTGTGCCCAGAGCCTGGTGTCCACCAGGCCCACTGGCCACCACCCACCCTCCCGTGTCTGCAGAGGCCTGGGCTCCTGTCCTCCGGTGGGGCTTCTGGTGCTGAGGCCCCAACCATGCAGGACAAGCACGGGCAGCCTGGGATGGGTAGGCTGCAACCCCCCTGCATGCCTCCCCCAGGATGCTGCCGCCAGAGGGTCCCCGGGCCTCCGAAGAGGGCACAGCCGCTGGGCCCCAGCGAGGTGACTGCGTCATCTGCTACTCAGCCTATGACCTCACTGGGCACCTACCCCGCCGCCTCTACTGCGGTCACACCTTCTGCCAGGCGTGCGTGCGGCGGCTGGACACGCCAGCCCACGAGCAGCGCTGGATCCCCTGCCCGCAGTGCCGCCAGAGCACACCCACGCCCCGCGGAGGGGTGGCCATGCTGGACCTCGACCTGGCTGCCTTCCTGGCCGTCAGGGCCGAGCGGGAGCCGCCTCGCACAGAACCCCAGCCCCCCACGCCCCTCAAAGGCAGCACCGCCATTACTCAGCAGCCGGCCAGGCTTTGGCCTGCCTTGGGCCCCCAGCCCCACTTCCCCCAGCCCAGATGCTGCTTCTGGGGCTGCAGCGGCCTCTGCTGGGACCCCCCAGGCAGCCCCGAGGCCTGAGCCCCGGCCGGTCAGCAGCACGTCCGCCCAGAACAGCCTGGTGGCAGAGCGTCCCGGGGGCCACTCTGCGTGTTCACCCCGGGGCCACAACCTAAGGTCGCGAGCTGTGCCCACAGTACCGTAAGCCCCTGCAGGTGCTGGAATCCCAGCCAGGATTCCCAGGCCCCGCACTGGTCTGTGTGCAGGGGAGGGGTGCTGCTGTCAGAGTCACCTGCAAGTCCAGCCCGGGTCCAGACCCAGCTCAGAGGGTGGCTCCTGAAAGGGTCTGGGGACCAGACCCCGGGGACTGGGCTGCAGGCCGGAGCGGCAGGGCCCGGCAGAGGCTGTTCCCGGTCCTGCTGGAGCAGGTCTCCCCTCCTCTACAGAACGGCCCAGAGGCGTGAGCCCGGAGGGAGGGAGGGGCTCTCCCTTCACCCCTGGCCTGTGAGGCAGCCCTGCGATGTTCGTCTGCTCACTGAGCTCCCGCTGTGTCGGGAGCTGTTTGGGGAGGGTCCTCCGCAGGCACAGTCACTGCTGCCACAGGTGTCCAAGGAGGTCCAGGCCCAGGGTGGGGGACCTGCCTGAGGGGCTGCTCAGGACAGACGCTCCCATGCCAGGCCCTCAGCTTCCTTCTGCCTCCCCGTGGCCACCAGACAGACCCTTCAGAGGGACCAGAGCATGTGCTGGAGACAGTGGACGCAGACCCCACCAATTGGGCTGCAGCATCCCCACCCCCGCACAGGAAGGAGGCCCTGGGAGGGACCGTGGGGCCCGCGCCGGGCAGCGGGTAGCAGGGACGGACAAGAGAATGTGCTGAGAGGACACTCAGAAACCTCCTCCCTCCCGGGGACAAAGTCCCCCTGCACCAGCGACCGGTGGGCAGCAAGCAGGGGGCCAGGAAGACCAGGCCTGACGGACGGGGAGGGGCCGGCCCAAGCCGGACAGCTCTTCCTCCCCACATCCCAGGAGCAGTAAGGGGACTGACCCCAATAAGAAGCACTCCACGAGCAAGGGGGCGGGTCAGGGCTCAGCTGGAGAGAGAACAGGATGGGCCGAGTCTCCTGGTCCAGGTGAGCTTGGGCAGTGCGCTGGGCAGCAACGTGGCCTGGGGGAGGGGCCTCGCCTGCCCTCTCCCTTGCAGATGAAGGCATGACACCCGTGACCGTGACCATTGCTGCCCAGCACTGGGGCTGAGCCTGCAGGGAGCTCTGCCAGGCCCAGCCCTGCCCCAAGCCCAGGCCTGAACTGGATGACCTCAGGGGCTGTTGCCCTCCCCGCCTACCTGGTGCAAAGGGCTTCCCTCTGGCTATCGGACCTGGGCAGGAAAACCACAGTGAGGTCCGTAGAGCTTCCCAAGGGGTCCCCAGGCTGGCCAGTCAGAGCCCCAGCACGCTGCCCTGCTTTGGGCAGGCAGCAGGCAGCATCTGGCATGTCACCAAGTCATCCATTCGTGGAAGTCCAGCACTAAGGACCCCCTGCCCAGCCCCGCAACACCCCTGAGTGACAGTGGGGCCTGGACAAGGCAGGTACCGGGACTGCAATGGTACCCCTCAGGGGCCTCGGCTCCTGGGTAAACATTAATGGGGCTCAGCACACGGCAGGTCATGTGTGCACCCAGATCTTTGACCTGCAGCTGCTCCTGGCCTGTGTCTCCTCCCCGAAGGTGCCCCTCACTACCCACACAGGTAGGAGCTTCTAGAGCCAGGTGGGGACCCAGGACACTGGGGTCAGGGCGGGGGGACCTCCAGGGCTTAGGCGCCCCCCCCCCCCAGGAGCTGAGGGTGAGAGAGCAGCTTGGGGGCAGCAGGAGGGAGGGGTGGCAGCAGGCTCCCCAGCTCCCGGGCCTTGGGCACTGGGAGCTGAGGTAGGCGACTCGATGGGGGCTCCAGACCCAGCAGGCTGAGGAGGGAGCCTTGAGGTGGGGTGGGGGCGACCAAGCCCCCTGTCCTGCCCCCCGTCACTGGAGGTGGGGCCCTTATCAAGCGGAGATGTTGCCATTTGGTACCAAATACCAGAGTCTAAGCCGCGACCGGCTGCAGTGGTCGCTGTGACACCTGATAGGAGAGGTCCCCGAGTCCCCGGCTCCCGACCACTTCAGGCCACACCCCAGCACCCTAGGCCACCCACCAGGCCTTCTTCCAGCCAGGACCAGCAACGGAGCCAGGGTTCCCTCAACTCGGTCCCCCCAAACTGGACTGGGCACACCTGACAGCCACTTGAGATCACTATAGCCATCTCCCTGCAGACAGAGGAAGGGGGCAGTCACCAAGGCCAACGGCGGGTGAGAAGGGAGGACAGCGGTGAGGTCTCAGGCCAGGGGACCCCAAGACCTGGCGGGCAGGGGGAGGAGCTGTGTCTGAACTGCCCTTCCCCCCAGCAGATCTAGATTTGGGCCTGGGCCTGTCCCTGCCCAAAATCCATGCCGAGTTCCCTCACCTGCGCCCAGGACCCTCCTGCCACTCTGGACACAGTTGGCCTGGTGGACCAGAGGCTGGGAAATGCAGGTACCAGGAGCCCCAGGGTCCCGGAGCCTCGGCCTGCCTCCCTGCCCACCCACCTGGCCTCTGACCCATTGCTCTGGGGAAGCTGGGAGAGGGGCTCCAGCCCATCCGTCCCCAGGAGAGCCCAGGGGCCGGAACAGTTAGGGGCCCCCCTCCTTCCCATTCTTGTCCCTCACCCCAAGCTCCTGTGCCGCAATCCCCCCAACCCCTTCGGGCGCCACTTAAAGGTGTCCAGGAAACAGCTAGGTTCCTGGCCCTACCTGACCCTGACCCCTGCAGGGACCTCCGGTTCTGCCCCCATCTTGGAAGACGGGGATGTGGACCCCTGGGCCCTCCCTCAGCTAAAGGACACTGGCCAGTCCTGGAAAGGTAGGTCTGGAGATGCTGGGTAACTGGACAAACGAGGCTCGGACTTGCCAGGGTGTGAGCGTGAGAGGGTTCTTGGGGAGAGAGAGCAAGGAGGGGGTTTGCCCCAACGGGCCCCATGGAAACCCGCCACGCAGACCACCGCCAGGGCACCCTGGTCCCTCAGTTCAACGGCCTGCCTGCCCACCTGCCCTCCCTCCTCCCTCCTGCGGGCAGTGAGGCTCCCCGGAGGCCCTAAGGGGCTGTCTGCTTGGCCACTCTGCAAAGGAACAGAGGAGAGGGACCCTGGCCCTGTGCTGGGAGTGGGGAGAAGAGGAAGGGGCCTGGAAGGGGAGCCGGGGCGGGGGCAGGGTGGGGACTGGCTGAGGACAGCCCTGCCCTCTGTCCTCAGAGCTCAGCATGGCCGGCAGGGTGCTCCAGGGGGCTGCTGGCTTCCTCAAGGTCTGTGGGCTCCTGGGCAGCCTCTACCTCTTCATCTGCTCCCTGGACATCCTCAGCTCTGCCTTCCAGCTGCTAGGCAGTGAGTGACCAGCTAGGTGGCTGGGGGTGGGGCAGCCAGCCAACCCTCCCCAGCCTCAGGGCACCTGTCTCCCGGGCGTAGGCAAAGTAGCTGGAGACATCTTCAAGGACAACGTGGTGCTGTCCAACCCTGTGGCTGGACTGGTCATCGGCGTGCTGGGCACGGTCCTCGTGCAGAGCTCCAGCACGTCCTCCTCCATCGTGGTCAGCATGGTGGCCTCCAAGCGTGAGTGCCCCCCTCCCCTCCCCCAGGATGGTGGTGGCGGGGTGAGGGGCGAGAGGCTGATGCAGCACCCCTACAGTGCTGACCGTGAGGGCATCTGTGCCCGTCATCATGGGCGTCAACGTGGGCACATCCATCACCAGCACCCTGGTCTCGATGGCACAGTCGGGGGACCGGGACGCGTTTCGGAGGTGAGTGAGGTGCGGGGGAGGGCAGGGGCTGCGGCTGAGGCTTCCGACCACCCAACTCCGTGTGGCCTCAGGGCCTTCGGCGGCTCAGCCGTGCACGGCATCTTCAACTGGCTCACGGCGCTGACCCTGCTGCCGCTGGAGAGCGCTGCGGCCCCCCTGGAGAGGCTCAGCGCACTGGCCCTGGGCGCTGCCAGCCTGCAGCCCGGGGGGCACGCACCTGACATCCTCAAGGTGCTGACACGGCCGCTCACACGCCTCATCGTGCAGGTGAGGCCAGCCGCTGCTTCCGGCAGGACCCACACGCCAGGCGTGGCGGGGAGGGGTTTCTTGGGGAGGTGGCGACAGACAGCTGAGGCAGATGTGGGCAGGGCGTCGTCGGCTGGGGGAAGAGAGAGCACACTGGGCCGGGCTGTGGTCCTCTGAGCCCCCGGGGAGTCCAACACCAGACCCAGACTCCTCTGTCCCCCAGCTGGACGCTGATGTCATTACGGGCAGCGGCACAGGCAACGCTACCAACAGTAGCCTCATTAAGCGATGGTGTGGCACCGAGGCGCAGACGGTGAGGTGCCTTGGACCCCTGAACTCCGACCCACTGAATTAGCCGGTCCTGGCTACTCTGAGCCTGTCCTGAGCCCAACCCGCCTTGCCTCCCCAGACCGCAGGTAACAGCAGCACCTGTGCGGCGGCCACTGGGGGCCCCTGCCCTGCGAGGAACAGCTCTGCCACCGAGGAGCAGCTTCCCTGTGAGGCCCGGCGCCCGCCCCAACCCCCGCCCACCCCGCGCGCTGGCCGCAGCTCACCCACCCCTGCCCTGCCACCAGGCCGCCACCTGTTCGAGGGCACAGCGCTCGCGGACCTGGCCGTGGGCTTCATCCTGCTGGCTGCCTCCCTGCTCATGCTCTGTGCCTGCCTCGCCCTCATCGTCAAGCTGCTCAGCTCCACTCTGCGGGGCCGCGTGGGCCAGGCCGTGAGCACCGTCGTCAACGCTGGTGGGCCTTGGGGAGGCGGTGAGGGTGGCGGCAAGGAGGCCCGACTGGGGGTGACCGGCTCCCCCTCCGCAGACTTCCCCTCCCCATTCGGCTGGCTCAGCGGCTATCTGGCCATCCTCGTGGGGGCCGGCCTGACCTTCGCACTCCAGAGCAGCAGCGTCTTCACTGCAGCCATCGTGCCGCTCATGGGTGAGCACAACAGGTGGCACCTGACCGAGGGGGCAGGGGGTGCGGGGCCCATGATGACCCCTGGCTCCCCCAGGGGTCCGGGTAATCAGCCTGGAGCGGGCGTACCCCCTCTTCCTGGGCTCCAACATCGGCACCACCACCACGGCCCTGCTGGCTGCCCTGGCCAGCCCTTCGGATATGCTGATCAGCGCCGTCCAGGTACCACCCTCCCGCACCCCTCCCCTGCCCCCAAGCCCCTCCCACTCCCAACACAGGCCTGGGGCTTGCGCTCAGGCTCAGCCCCCTCCTGTCCAGCCCTGTGGGCTGGAGGCGGCAGGCCTGCCCTGGGGCCTCAGGCTCCAGCTCTCCTGGGCCCCACCTCTGGCTGCCTGCTCAAACCTGCAGCCTCCTCGTCTTCCGGGACCCCAGGGGCCCTGTGGGCATTTCTCAGAGTCCCAGGCCTTCTTCTCTTCCCCTGCAGCCTTATCATTTCTAGGATCCTGTAGTCCCAGGGTGCCTTCTCCTCCCTTCCAGCTGGCAGCTCCCCCAACCTCTCCTGAGGGACCACTGCATACTGCTGGCTGTGTCCCTTTGAGGCCTCCCGGCCCTCGGGGGCCTCAAGCCCCTCTATGCCAACGCCTCTAGGATGTCCCCCACCCCCAGGCACCTAAACCCCACAGGCCCCTACGTGGACGACTCACCGTCTTCCTCCGTGCACCCTTGGCCGGTCACAACTCTGCCTCCGGGACGCCTCCCCCAGCTGCACACCCCACGCCCAGTCCCATTCAGTCCTGCGGATTCTCTCCAGATCATCCCCTGTGCTCCACTGCTTCTGTCCCAGCACCCTAACAGGTGCAGCTCCTGAAAGCCTGGATCTTGCTGGGCTGCTGCCCACAAGAAGAGATGAACCCCAGCCCTCCCCGACTCCCACCTGCTCTCTTGCCTTGGCTCTTTGTCCATTTGGAACCTCCCAGTGCAGGGCCCTGATCCACCCCCTCCAGGAAGCCCTCCGGACTGCACCCACCACACCGACTCCTCGACTTCTTCAGCAACCCCTGGAGGGAGTTGTGTTCTCTCCACGTGTGGCCCTGCAACTCCTCCTCACAGGAGCCAGGCCAGAGCCCAGGGCTGGGTGGCCAAACCCGCTCAGGGATGACATGAGCGGGGTCACCGTGAACGACGCGTTGGCAAGCTAAGCCAGCTCAGGGGAAGGTCGAATCCACGGGGTCATCACAGATGCAGTTACCACATGGGGATGCCGTACTAGGGCCCCGACCCTCAAAGTGTTGGGGGGTGCAGGAAGAGCGGGCCCAACACAGCTGGCCAGAATTTGCCCTCCCAGGCTGCCGTCTCGGCTAACAAGCGGGGCCCCAAACTGCCTTTGGGCTTAGTGCCCTTTCTGCCAAGAAAGGGAGGCGCAGGCGTCCTGGGGAGCCCAGGGGACCCCGTACCACAGAGCCCAGGCTCCTGAACCCTGCCTGCCCTCCCTCCCTCCAGGTCGCCCTCATCCACTTCTTCTTCAACCTGGCTGGCATCCTGTTGTGGTACGTGGTGCCCGTCCTCCGGCTGCCCATCCCACTGGCCAAGCGCTTTGGGGACCTGACTGCCCGCTACCGCTGGGTGGCCGTCGCCTACCTGCTGCTCAGCTTCTTGCTGCTGCCGCTGGCCGCCTGCGGGCTCTCCCTGGCGGGGAGTACAGTGCTGGCTGCAGTTGGGGGGCCCCTGCTTGTGCTGGTACTCCTCATCATCCTGGTCGCCGTCCTGCAGCGGCACCGGCCAGCCTGGCTGCCCCGCCGCCTGCGCTCCTGGGCCTGGCTGCCCCTGTGGCTCCGTTCTCTGGAGCCCTGGGACCGCCTGGTGAGCCGCTGCTGCCCCTGCAAGGCCTGCAGCCCCCCTCAGGCTGCGGCCAAGGAGGCCCACTGCTATGAGAACCCCGAGGTCCTGGCCTCCCAGCAGTTGTGAAGAGCGGACGTCCCCACCCCCGTTGACCTCTGGGTGCCCTGAGGGATCCTAGTGGCTGCGGACATCTGCATCACCTGCATCACCTTCTTTGCAAATAAACAAGCCTGTACCCAGCTGTGGGTGGTCTTCTCTCCCCAACCCCAGGCTGCGTGGGCAGGGCCCCACCCGCCTCCATAGGGAGCTGGGAGTGGGGCAGCGCCGTTGCTGCCCCCAGCGGACACCAGGGGCCCGCACTGAGCCCTCGTGGGAGCTGGCCTTCCCCGGAGGTGCGGCAACACAGCTGATCCCCGAGGCCCAAGCTGTGACTCTGTTTCTCTCCGCGGCCACTGGGGACAGAAGGCCCTAAGTAGTGGCCAATCCAGAGCGTAGAGACTTCCCGCAGCAAGAAGCTCAGGGTCCAGGGAGGCTGGAAGCGGCCGGGGCCTTCCCTGTGGGTACAGGAGGGAAAGGGCGACCGGCTCCCACGCACCGCCGCCGCGGAGGACGCGCGCGGGCAGCTCCTGCGCCGTCCAGCCCCCTGTCGGCGGTCGGACTGGAGGACGTCACGTGGCCGCGGCAGGGCCCCGAGTTCCGCAGGTGCGTCGGGGAGTGGGGAGGGGACAAGCAGGACCGGGTGGCCCCAAGGCGCCCTACTCCTCTCCGTCCCCGTTCTGCCTCTATCTCTGTTTTCGCAGAGCGTGGCGCACGCGCTGCAAAGCACGGGGCTGCGGGGTGCCGCGTGGCCGGAGTGGGGCGGGGCGGGGGGGAGGCCCTGCGGGGAGGGGAGTGGGCGGGCGCGGGGCTGTGGGCGGTGGCGGGGGGGGTGGGGCGGAGCGCGGGGCAGGCGAGCCAGTGCGCGGTTTCCCGGGTCCGCCGGCCTAGGCCGGCCGCCAGGGGCGCTACCCTGCCGGCCTGGGCAAAGGGGGTGCTCAGTGCCCCTCACCCCAGGAAGTGGGTCCTGCCCGCGACGCCCGGCGCCGCTCGCATCTGGAGGCCCCCACCTACGCGAAACACCTCGGCCGCGAGGCGGTCGATGGCCTCTGGGCCAGGTGCCCACCTGGGGGTGGAGCGTGCGGGAGGGGGCCGCCCCCGCCCGCCCCCGCCCGCCCCCTGCTCCTCCCCGCTGCTCAGCGGGTTTCCACACAGGACCGCTTTTGTCTGGCGGCCGGGCGGTAACCAGACACCCCTCCAGCCCGGGGCTGCCCACAACCCCAGCCCGACCTCATGCCTCCGCCCTGAGAGGAGGGCATTGGCGGATCACGTGTCCCGGCACAAGTCGCGCACGGAGAGGGGCGCGCACGCGCAGACCTGCGGGCCGCTCGGGGTCTGGTTTGCCCCGTTAGCTGCTGCGGCCAGTCACCGCCTCCCGGTCCGTGGATGCTACCCTGATGGGGGCACCTTCCTTCCCTGGCCCCCACGTTTGCCTAACCAAACCCGGGGGGACAGGTGTGAATCGTCAGGAAGATGAGACCAGGAGACCCCAGGACCAATTATTGTCCGGGATCATGTCCTTTCACTTCTCAGGTCTCTCCGCCCCACTCCGTGTCCCCTAGTCCCTCTCAGCCCCTCCAGGTCTCCTGTCCCCCCCAACACGCTCCTGGGTCTCCTGAGCCTGGGGCTCACCCTGGCCTCGGAAGGAGCTAGTCACACGTTCTGAGAGCCATAGGGGCCTCATGGGAACAAGACCCCTGGGGCAGGCTCATTACCCCCTTTTGGCTTCCCCCCACTTTTGTAACCTCAGGACACACTTGTGGTTCTGACATCAACCTCACTCCCATGGAAGTCCCCTGAGGAGGGACTGGGCCTGGCTGCTTCCCTGGGGACATGGAGGGGGCAGCTCCCCCTCCCCATGGTGGGAAGGCAGTGAGAGGGGAAGAAAGTACCCCATGCACCTCTCCTTCCGGGGGCGGGTGAGGCCGCCCACAAAGGCTGACTGCTGGGTCCTTTGAGGCCGTGAACGACTGTCTGCCTGCTGCTCCTGCCTGGCGGTAACGCACCCTCCCGCTGGGACCATGGCCACCGGTAAACAGAGCTGTCGTTGTGGATGCCTCCGACAGCTGCAGGCTGGGGCAGGAGGGCCAGGCGCCTAGCACTCCCACAGCCCCTGCCCACTCTGCCCTGCGTCCCGCTGGGCCACAGAGCTGCACTGGGCCCAGACCGGCCCCCCAGCCCAACCTCTCCACCCTGCAGCAGGAACACCCTTGGCTGAGGGTGGGGACCTGCAGGGCTTACCCCCGCCAGCCCTGGGCAGCAGTGGCAACTGTGGTCCTTGGCCGAGGGCCACGGGGAGCTTCCTGCTGTCTTGTTCCCAGTGTTCACTTTGGGAGGGCAAGGCGGACAACCTGGTGCCACGGGGGGCTCTGGGGCTCACACCTGGGTGGGAGACACAACCTCTATTTTGTTACCTCTAAAGTAGGGGGGCCATGCCGAACTCCCAGCCCTGTGTGCACTGGTCACAGGAAACAGGGACCTTTGCCAGCGGGGATCTCAGCCAAGGGTGGGGGGCAAGGAGAGAAGGCTTTGACAAACATCTCAAAGAGCACTGCTCACTGGCTCGCTTGGAGGAAAATCTGAGCTTCTCCCTTGCTCACCAGTTTGTGGGTTTGTGACAACTCAATGCTACCAGGCCCCAGAGCCTCCCTGCTGCAGGGCCAGGGCCTTGCAGGCTGCTGCTTGGGCAGCTAAGCCACTTTGCAGGGCACCGTGAGAACCCCGGATGCCAGGCAGTGACCCTGCACACCCCACATGCCACTACCTGTGGCCAGCAGAAGCCGGGCCCACCTTCCTGGACTGGCATGGAGGAGGGGACTGACCAGCAGTTTGACATTCTGACTCACCCTCCAGGTCAGGACTGCAGCTGCAGACCACTCTCAGGGGATGCAAAGGCTAATCTCTATGCCAGCATGCTGCTTGCCCCAACAATTCCATCCACACATTAAGTATAGCATAACGTGTCCTAACGCTGCAGTATACTCTGATACCGTAGTGTCATGTATTACACAGTGAAGAAGGAAGCACATTCTCTTTAGGTAGAAATAAACAGGTATTGACCCCAACACCCTTGGGTTGGTGAGCAAAGGAGGGTAAGAACCGCACTGAGAAAACCAAAATCTAGAGAGGACCCAGTGGCCACGGCAATGGAGGTTGTCCAGGGCAGACCCAAGGTCGTAATTCCTGGTTTCTTAAATGTTATGCAAATATAATGCAAGTGTACTGTTTGTAAAAGGATCGATTAAAGGTGTGACCACGTGTAATTTAACTGTTTTTCCTTCATAAATTTTTCTTCCACCCAAACAAAAATCAAGGACGAGTAAAAACATTTGTCCACCCAGGTGTACTGGTCCGTGGTTGCCCAGAGGCCTGGGCGCTGCCCTCGTCTCCACGCAGTTCTGTTCTCTCCTGGGGCCAAGGCCTCAAGGCAACGGGCGCAGGGCCAGCGCAGTCTCCACAACAAGCCGCTGCCAGGCAGGGCCCCTTCCCGCCCTGCCCTGCCCTCCTCTCCCCTCCCCGCCCCACCGGGCCCACTTCTCCCCTCCTCTGCCCCCTCTCCCCGGGCCCGGCGCAGCGGCCCCACGTGCTCCCCCACCTGCCCGCGACGGGTGCGGACCAAGGAGGGGAGCAGGGAGCCACAAGGCCTCCGCCGCTCTGGGGGGAGGGCCCGACTCCACCGACACACCCGCCCCGCCGCCCCTTGGCACCTGAGCCCCGTATGTCTCTGCTATGAACGGCTCCGCGCCCCTCCTCGGCTCGGAGACCCCGCAACCTGCGCTCGGCCGCCCTCGACAGGGCGCAAGGCGGGCCCGGGCTTAAGCGCTCGCCCACGGGGCGCGCCCCGCCTACCTTCCCCGGGCCTCGGGCCGGCCCTCCCCCGCCCTCCCCGCTTGGCCCCTCCCGAGCCCGCGCCCCAGCCCGCGTGGGTCCCCGCGGCACTGCGGCGGTTACCAGGACGCTGGCCCAGCGTAGCCAATAGCGCCGGCCTGTCGGCGTGCTCTCCGGAGCCAACCAATGAAAGAACAAATCAATCATTTGAAACACCCAATGGACAGAGCACCGCAGAGCGAAGGGGGGTATTTTGATAGGGAGAGCAGGGGCCGCGGCGGACCAATAAAGGGCCAAAGGCGTTGGGAAGGCGGGCGTTAGGCGGATTGATTGACGGAGCTGCACCCAATCAAATGAGGACGCTTGCTAGCCTCGCTCTGGAAACCCAATACGAGGCTGGCGGGGGCGGGCGCGGCGGCTATATAAGCACCGGCGGCGAGTCAGTTGTAGCACTCTGCGCGCCAGCTCTTCGGCTCTCGCTTCTGATCTGCAACTGCTGCTGCCGCCGCCGACGCCGCCGACGCCGCCGACGCCATGAGGGAGATAGTGCACCTGCAGGCCGGCCAGTGCGGCAACCAAATCGGCGCAAAGGTGAGCGGGGTAGTCGGGGCCGGCGCAGGTCTTCCGGGCGGGGCGAGCGGGCGGCGGGAAAGATGGCGGCAGCGGGCGGGCGGCGGCGGCCCCGCATTGCGGCCCCGCGCGGCGCCCGAACCGGAGTCGGGGCGGGGGCGGCAGCGAGGGCCCTTGGGGACGGCCCAGCGGCGGCGGCGGGGGAGGGGAGGGCCGCGCCGTCCGGGGCGGGGCCGGCTCCGGGCACCTCAGGCGTGACTCAGCCCCAGCCCGGCCCGCTCGCGTCTCCCGCAGTTTTGGGAGGTGATCAGCGATGAGCATGGCATCGATCCTACCGGCACCTACCACGGGGACAGCGACCTGCAGCTGGAGCGGATCAACGTGTACTACAACGAGGCCACGGGTGAGACCCCCGCGCCCTTTCCCCACCCCTCTGCCGCCCCGCGGCCCTCCCGTCGCTGACGCTCTCCCGCCCCCCAGGTGGCAAGTACGTGCCCCGCGCCGTGCTCGTGGATCTGGAGCCGGGCACCATGGACTCCGTGCGCTCGGGGCCCTTCGGGCAGATATTCAGGCCGGACAACTTCGTCTTCGGTGAGCTGCAGGTCGGGCTGGGGGGTGGCTTGATAGCCAGGGTGCCTCATAGGTCAAGGGGTGCCCAAGGTCGTCACTTTTAGGACCGCAGAGCCGAAGTCCTGATTCACTTTACACTCCCCGTAGAAGCGGGGTTCAAGGACACTCT